ACACACACACACACACACACACACACACACACACACACACACACACACACACACACACACACACACACACACAATGCCTCCCTCCCTCCCCCTCTTTCTACTAGATCTCTCCCATTTCTTTGTATTCAGTTTCATCCGTCTGGCTATCTCATTTTCATCTCGACTCGCAAGGGCGATCCTCAATTCTTCTCTTTTCAATTTCCCTCCCTGCGCCCATATCTCTCTCTGGGAGCCCGGGGCATGACTAGAAGGAGAACCTGAGATTGTGCGGAGGGGCTGCAAACTAATGGCTGCCTCCGAGGAGGACGCCGCTCAGCCATTAACCCTGGATTAACCCTGTATTAGCGCTGCTCGTCGGGTTAGCCCGCCGCTAATGTCTTTTATTGATCTATTAGCCAGAGAATCAAAACCGCACGCAGCTCAGAGCGTTTCTCCCCCTTCGAGTGCAAGGTCCCGGGAGGGGCGCGCGGAGGGAACTGAGTGGCCGCGGTGGTTGACCTCGGGGGTCGGGCACCCCACGCACCCAGCAGGGACGGACGATACAAAACCCAACCATTTGAGGAAAAGAACCACTGATGCATTGTGGTTACAAGGAGCAACGCAAGACACCACGATCATGTGACACGTCTCCAGTTATCTAAAATGATATTCATTTAAGAGCACAACTGCTGTGTTTTGAACTGTTCTCCCCGTTAATCACTTTACAACGGTGTTGCCGATAGTGTGACATGATTGTGCACCTTCTCCAGACAAACACATCATGACACCAGCCAAGCTGCAAGGAATAAGGCACCTCCACCAATATTTGTGTCTATAAGCGACCAAATGTAAACGTGGAGATATCCACGCTGTACAGATTTATCAAATGTGTTTTAAAGAACAATATAAAGTGTAACGGTGTTACAGTCTAAAAAATGTAACTTAACATTAAATTGGAAAAAAAAGACAGCGGTTGCTAACGGTCATGTCAGCAGCAGAGCTGTTTATGTGTACACGAAAGCAACTACTCTGTACGATGCGTTGTCTTATCACGTCAGTAGCCAACTTGTCCACATATTTACGCATAAATCTTTAAAATAAAATCCTAGTTCCATAATTTATTTTAAGTCAAAATAATTTCCTAATAGACAGTTAAGTACCAACATTGTATATGCAATTGTATGTATTTGTAAGTGGATTCATGAGAAATGTGGTCTTAATTTGAAAAACAACGATCTTACACCAAGTTTAAGGTTACCGGTCATTTTAGGCATGGTGTCGCAATTAATGTGACGACACCATGAATTATTGCTGGCCCACATAACCTAAAATCCACACGAAGATGAACGGCAACATTCACATTGGTAACTACAAATGAAACAATGTATTTTTGAAAGTAACTGAGCATGACTGTTTTCAGGCAAAATCTTGTCTGTTTCATGAAAGTAACAATCAGAATTAGGATTATAAATAGATTTGAGCAACACATTTAGTATGTTACCTTTTCTTTGCTATTTACGCATTATATTACACGACATGGTTGTGTTTTAGGTTTTGGAAAAAATTGCTTGTGCTTATTATCAACGCTGCAACTATTTTTACAACGCTATTTACAGCTTGACTTTGCTCTGTAAGCCAAAGTGTGCCATGACATTTTATTTCTCTGCAGCAGCTCTTCTTCGTTTGCAACTGTGCGACCGACTGTAATTCATCCAATGCTGGAGTTACAATCAGAACTAGACAAACAGGTGCTCATAGTTGATTGCATCCTTACAACAATTAAAAAGGACTTGTCGCCAGTTGCTTTGTTGTCGCAGTGCGAGCACAGCTTCAGGCTTAGATGCGATTCTTGATTTGCTTTCAAATGCGCACACACGACAGAGGTCTGAAAGAATCTTTTGACCAAACATGCCGACGTGACTTTGGATGACTTCAGTTTTGGTAAATGTTTGGTTTGTTGCCCAGCCCTCCATCCTGCGAATGTCAAAAACGCTGCACCTTGAAATTACAGTTTGGAAGCACTTTTACTTTGTCGAGCTAAGCAAGCACATCATGATGATCTTGTCGACTTCCCTTGAAAACCCCAGTGAGCGCTGCAGGTGAGCAGCACAGAAGATGATTATGGAGATCCGTCCGCAAATCTGGTTATAATCCTCTCTTATCCTCTTTTGCAGCGCCAGGTTGTAAGGTTTATTTGCTGCTAATCTGTCTCCGTTTTACCTTCCGGCAAAACCCTTTGAAAAGTTGTGACAGGGAAGGAAACCGCAAGTTGGGCCGGCCGAAGATGGAGACCCAACTTGTGCTTTCTGGGTAATGGTGTCGGCTAAATGCGGCTTAAAATAAAACCAACAGTGCAGCTAGTGGAGCGTGGAGCGGCGTGTCTTGGCACTTGTCGGAGTGAGGAGCGTTTTCGGAGCGCCGCCGCCTATTTTCCGGGTTGGCCTACTGCTGCTGTATCTCCGAGGACCAGACCAGCTGCTGCTCACATTCATTTCACTTCCCATTAAAGGTGAAATAAATCAGGAGTCCCCGCGCAACCTCCTTAGAGACGCGGAAAACACACACGCGCACACGCGCACACACACGCGCACACGACTGCCTGTGCGTGCAGTCTAACCTAGGTCATATGCATCGAGGATGTCAGATGGAGAGGAAATGCAGTGGATGTGTGTTCTGTGTGTGCGCCTGCCAGTGTAAGTGTGTGCGTGCGTGTGTGTGTGTGCGTGTTCCTCTGACAGCGCAGCGGTGAGAGTGAGTGGGTCTGTGTGAAGGGGGGCTATTTCTGGCGTCTCATTTTTTTTTCCCTGCTGCCGCAAAGAAATGCGATCGGCGTCCGGGAAACGAGAGCTGGCAGCAAGCAATCATCTGCCTGCCTGCCACACACACACACACACACGCACACAGCACCTCGCAGCGCCGAGCAACACGCGCCATGGCAACGGAACAGCCGCAATTAGAGGCGAAGAGCCTTTCCCCTCCATCGAGGGAGAGACGGAGAGCGAAATGAAAGGAAGAATGAAAGAGCAGGCGAGAGAGAAAGAGAGAGAAAGAGAGACAGGAAGAGGGGAGGGAGGAGGACGGGGAGGGGGTGGGGGACGAGTGTCAGAGAAACAGCACCGTGCAGGAAGGAGAGAGGGAGAGTGGAAGAGGAAAGGAGAACGCGATAAAGAGGTGAGAATGTGCAAGCGCGAGGCAGCGAAGGGGAAGGAGGGCCGAGAGCAATGGAGGAGGAGGAGGAGGAGAGCGGGCTGAAATAGTGACGTTGAATGGAAAAGACTAAAAAAGCAGAGGAGGCAGAGAGCGAGAAAGAGGAGCATGAGGAGAAGGAGGAGATATCCAAAAAGACAGATTGCAAGACATGAGCGAGACAAACAAAAGAAATTACGCGCGAAGAGCAACCAAGATAAGACGAGACGATGGTTAGATAGAGATGGAGGAGATGGAGAGTAGGGTGGAGGCGCATGGAGGAGGAGGGATGTTTCTCCTGTGTGAGCCGCGCTAATGAAAGATGAATGAGGGAGTGGTGGGAAGGAGAGTGTGGCTGCGGGCGGTGAGTGGGTGTGTGTGTGTGTCTGTCAGGGTTTTTGTGTGTGCGGCACGGTCAGTCGAGCGAGTCCCACAGTTGGCTCAACAACAACAGCACGCACACATGAACGCAGCGCGAGGCCGACATGTGTAGCTTTCAGTGGAAAAGCCTGCTGCCACCTGTAAGCGCGAAGTCAGTCATTAGCACTCGCACGCGTCTCCGAAGCCTCGCTCACTTATTCAGACCTTCCATCTATCATGCTGTCAGTCACTCTGTGAGCCTCTCTCTCTCTCTCTCTCTCCCCAAAACCCTTCATCCGCTGCCTCTCCCTATCTCTTCCAATATCCCACCCTGCCAGTCTATACCACTCTCCAGCCATCAACCCCACCCCCCTACCCTCGTTTTTTTTTTGTCTGCCTCTAATTGTTCATCCTGAGCACTGTGGGAGATGCAGAGCTGTAGCAGCGCGGAGGAGAACTCCCCTTCCCGGAGTGCGGCCAGACAGAGAAGTCGCCCTGACCCCGATTGCACTTCTTCCTCTCTCCGACTGACTGCCTGACTTCTTTTCTTTCTTTTTTCCCCCTTCCTCCTGACAAATCACATGCTTTCGCAGTTCCAAAACAAGGCCCTGGTGCTGCTGCCGCTGACAGCAAATCTGAACTTTTTTTCTCAGACTAAAAGGGATTTCTGCCAAAACGAGCTTAATCCCTCGACTATGGTCAGACTGTGATTCAGTGTGATCTTTTTTTTTTTACTCTCTGAAACGTCTGGCTGCGTCGATATATAACGAGGCATGGGCGACTTGTTGAAGGCGAGGAGATGGTGTGATTT